AATAAAATAAATAATAATAAGGATGTGATATATATATATATATATATATATATATATATATATATATATATATATATATATATTCAACGTAAGTTATATCAATTCGTACACAATTGGTTACTTTATATATATTACAGTTTTTTTTTTATTTTGATTATTTGTTTTATTTTGTAAATTTTTAATACTAATAAACTGATGATCAAATAATTCTTATTTTTATACGTTTTAAAACTATATAGAACGTTAATTTTGACATATTTCTTTAATATAATCATATATTACAAGTTATTCAACAATGTAACATATATTTACGGATAAACACATACTTTAGTCCTAAAAAAATGATGAAAGTTGTCACGTTAGTTCTAAAACTCAGAAAATATTAAATAAATTTTTAGAATGCCAAATAAGTCTCTAAACTTAATTTCTCACTATTATTTGGTTTCTAAAATATATATCTTACCACTTAGACTATTTTTTTTTTTTTAATTTTTAAACTAATGAGATTGTCAATTTATATTTTCAATTTTATTTAACATAATTTTAGTTTCATGAATTAATACGACAGTTTGTTTTTAAATTTATACTATTCCATATCTATTAATGTAACTTAACCATCCCTTGTAAATAATTAAAAAGAGAAGTCAACTTTGAACAGTAATTTTTCTGATTCGGTAATTCATAGCAAGAATTTAGAAAGTTATAAAGAGAGGTTAATTAAACAAGAGAATAATAAAAGGAGCATATCTGATTTAAAAGGGAAGTGAGGTAATTAAGTAACTGCAAAGAACGTTACTTTATAATATCTCCCTCGTCCTCTTGTTTAGTTGTGTTCCCTTGTGATTGTGACACTGACACTAGTAGCACAATAGTTTGGCCACAAACTTCGATGCTCCAAAGTACAAACAGATAAACAAAGAATTGGGTTGGAACTTGGAAGAGAATTGAAGAAAATGGGTAATATTGGAAGCATGAGGAGGAGGAGGCACCACCCCACTTCACAACCACAACCACAACCACAACCACAAGGAACAAACACAAACACAAACTACTACTCCTTTGCACCACCTCCTCCTAACTACCCCAACACACTTCTTCCTCCCTATCACCACTACCCTCAATCCTTTCCACCACCTTCCCTTCTCCATCACAAAGCTATCACCATTAGGAATGATGTCAATATCAAGAAGGACACTCTTCGCATCCACCCTGATCATCACAATCCTCACCATTTTCTTCTCACTTTCACCTTTGATGCCACTGCTCCTGGATGGTAATATTCCATTTTCTCACTTTTTACTTCTTACTTCTTACCATCAATACAAGTTATAGATACCATGCTATTATTAAATGATGTGTTAACATAATATCATCCAAATTTTGTTCTAGCTCATGTCTTCCTGCTAGATTTTCAACATGTCCAAGAATGTGAAATTTGTAAGAGACATCACCAGCTTTTGAATGTTGTAAACGTGATTTGTTAATTTTCTTATCGTGTACTTTGCTTGACTAGTAATATATTCTATTCTCAGATACCACCCTTCATTATTTTTGCATTTATGCTTTCATCTAGTATAAGATATCTGTCATTCTTAAATAAATATGATGCTTCTTGTATATAGCGTTCCTTTTGTAACTGCTTTGTTCTGTATCCTGCTACAGTATTACAGTGATGTTTTTTGCCAAGGAAACTTTAGATGGTAAGCTGATAGCTGTAGAGAAAAGCTTGGTGAATCAGATCTCAATGCCTTTTCAGCAAGGTCTTTGTCAGAAGTTCAGACAACCTTCTGGAACTGGCATTGAAATGTCGATGTTAGAGGAGACAGGACTAACCAAAGAAGGTGATGCAGAAGTTTATCCTCTTGTGCTCAAGGCTGAGGCTCGACCGTTAAACCGTTATGAAAATGAGGGAAACGTGTCTTCTCAAATTACTTTGGCTAGTTTTGAGAAGAGACAAAGAGGTGAGTACAAGGTCCAAGTGGTGAAACAGGTTCTCTGGGTCAACGGGAAAAGGTATGAACTGCAGGAGATATATGGCAATGGGAATGTTAGTGATGGTGATGGCCATGAATCTGGTGGAGATTGCGTGATTTGTTTGTCAGAACCACGAGACATAACTGTGCTTCCTTGCCGACACATGGTACTTTCTATTTATTGATTTTGTTTCTTATCCTCTATTCCTTCACCTTCTTGTTCTGCTTCTAGTTTCAGTTTGGCAATTGGTTGATGTTTCCGTCGGTAGAGTTAGTTCTTCTTTTAACAAATACAAAAAACATTGTTTTCTATGAATTTCCCCGTGTCCAAGGAGTAAAGCTGTTGGACTATTTCAGAGTGTGTTTTTGTGCCTATCATATAAGCCAGCTTCTTGTATAATTGTTTTTATATGGATTCACTTCAAAATAGAAATGCATGCTATAAATGTTACTGTATTTTGTTCAGTCTTTGATTGCTGGTTGAGTTTGACTTGGTACAAGATATTTTGACCTTTCCAATATGGATCACATTGTTTAAACTTTGCAGTGATATGCTTTATTTGATGCATGATGTTTCCCTTGTGATATTTGGAGTGCAGTGCATGTGTAGTGGCTGTGCCAATCTTCTGAAAGTTCATACAGCCAACTGTCCCATCTGTCGGCATCCAGTTGAGAGGCTTTTGGAAATTGAAGTTAAGTAAACAATAGATATGGTGATCAATGAAGGTCTACATTCAACAGAATGTTACTTCTTTTTCTTATCCGCTTTCCACATGCAACCAAAACTATCTTGCCATATACTTGTATAACTGAAATTTCCTGGATTTGCTTTTGTAACAGTTATGGACCAGAGAAAAACAAAAAAAAAAAACACAGCATATTTTCCATTTTACTATTTTAGTAGCTACGATGGACGTAATTTCAAAACTTATGGGGTAGACAAAAAGAGTAATTCACTATTTAATTCGTTGTTAAGCTACAACGTTTGTGGATGCGATAACTCTCGTTGTGTTATTACTTGTACAACCAATAATCTTAACAACTCTCAAAACGTATACTTTGTTTGCAATTTCTTTTGAAGAGAACCAATGATGATGTCGTGTAGACAAGAAGTGGTTTTACGATATTTTGTAAGTGAATGGTAACTTGGTAAATTAAAAATATTTTCATACAATTATTAAATTAAACGAGTTAAATTGTATACTTTATCGTAAGAGATGCAAACAATATAATGCTCACATCTCTCAAATGAGAACAGTAGTGAAATAGACTAAATAATATATTTTATAATAAGTAAATAATATAAAATATTTTTTTTAGTGATGAAATGATTATTTACTCTTTATTTTTTTTACTCGCACATTAAAAAGAGTAGAAAAAAGTCATCTCGCTAGATACATTCTCATATAAAATAATATATGACATTAGATCATATTTTGAATGACAAAATCAAAAAATAAATACATATAATTTTTTAAATTATCATTTAATTACCGATTAAATTTTAATTTGAATCATCTATATAATTCTCAAATGTATAGTTTTCACATTTAATTTATCTCACTATCTTCCCGCTGTATATTATCTATAAAATATAAGAAAAAACAATACAATTTTTTTTAGTTGTAAGAACACAGATGCTGTCAATCAGTCGTGGATTTATATTTATTGAGAAGTAAAAGGTGACTTCTTTTCTTAGTTCTGTATCTTGGCTCACATGATTAATACTAGTACTTTGCTTCTGTATCCCCAAGTAGCGACTTTATTAATGTTGGTTTGCTGGTGGTTGTTGCCAGGTGCACAACAACACATCTCTCAGAATTTATTTATTTAATATGAAAGGTGTATTTCTTTAAAATATAATAATAATTATTATTAAATAACAAATCAATGATATAATTATTTTAATTAAACTTAATTACATTTTTAGTCTTTTTATTAATCTTTCATTAAAAATATGATGATTTTTGGTTAATATATCACCACCAAATAATATAACAAATTATGTGGTGCTAACGATGACATTTTTTATAACCATTTCTATACAAACTAGTCGTAGTTAAAAGTAATGTAATATTCGTTTGAGATTGTGAGCATATAAAATATATAAAAAAAATTCTAGCATGATTTATTTAATATCCAAAACTAATATTTGAAAGTTAGACAACTTAATTAAAAATGACATGATACTAATGTAACAAATAACATAGATATTAATGTGTCAAAGCACATGACAAGATTGTGTGAAATATAAAAATTGTTAAAAAAATGTTAAGTTCAAAGATATGATTAAATCTTATCATTACTTTTAATTAGTGATAATAACACTTCATTATAACGATATGACAAATCAATATATTTACTATTGAACAACTTTTGTGTAGTGGAAGACTAAACACATGTATTAGAATTAGAATTTATAATACAACTAGTAACTAATATCAAATATATACATACTATACACAAAATACAGTATCAATTGTAAAATAAATCTATGTGTCGATCAACACCTATACAATACACGACTACATCAAAGTAGTCATCAACAAAATCTAGCCACTTCTAACGTGACTAGCCTCCAATTACACAAGTCATCCCACTAATCTTATTCTGCTCTCATACCAAGTATGATCATCGTAGTTCAACCACAAGAAAAACAGAAGGTAAACTTGTGAAAGGAATTCAACATAACAACTTATAAAAATATCATCATATTAAAATATTTCAACTTACAACATGACAACATCATCATCATAGCAACTTAACATCTTATAACATGTTCATCATATCAACATATATACATATACATCATCTAATGCGTCATCACACATATCAACTACAAAGATCTCCTACATCTTACGGTGAGTAGTTTAAGTGGTTTGACCATACCAAATCACAACGATTGGTATAATACTAGAAACAACGGCTAACATGAAGTTAGAAACAACAATTAGCACAAGGCTAGAAACAATCGTTAGCATGAGCTATAGATTGATTTCTTAGGTTTTGTCCTTTAAATAAAAAAGTATGATACTATATTATGATAGAATAATTTGGGTATAGGTTTATCACGACATTAGTCTGCAACACTAAGCCTCCTATGAAATTAACTTATCGACTACTCTTCAAATACCACAATCCTCTGATATTAGGTTAGTGACTAAGTCCCTGACCTAATACTTTACTCGATTAGATGCTTTATATACATGTGTCTCAACCTTGTCTACACACGAATACCACATTAAACCTAAAAGAGACAACTAAAAAATAACATCCATTCAAAGGCCAACTTACTTGCTGAAAGGTTCAACCGAGCTCTTAGAGCACCGTAACATATATATACACAATGCGATATTAAGTACAAAAATATCTTTACCTCTGCTCTAGTTTCTATGTACCGTAGCTAAGACATGTATCTAACCCATATATCTATAACTTTTCAACTTAACAACTTTATCAACTTTCAACATTCAACTTATCAGCTTTAACAACATACAATTTATACAACTTTCAACTTTCAACTTCACAACATGTTAACTTGAACAACACAAAACATCATACATATTTGCAATATTCACATCTTTGATTAAACAACATCAAAAATCAACTTAAGCAACTAAAACAACTTACAACTTTGCAACATATTCAACTTACCACATATCAAAAAATGTATCATCTTACTTACCCAACTTATTCATCATTCATTAGTTATAAAACAACTTTAACAACCAACTTTTCATCATACAACTTGTGTTTGACACCATTCACTAGGCAGTCAATGCCATTGAGGCAAGGAGCTCCTTATCTCACTCATACTTGGCGTTGCACCACTTATATCCGATGTGATTTAGGTAAAGAGTGCCCTTAGTCTTGCGCCCCACAATCAAGCAAAGAGCTCTTTGTCTGACTCATGCCCAACATCACTCCAACTACACTCGATGTGATCCTAGACAAAGACCATCCTCTCATCTCACGCTCGGTGCCATTCAACCCACACCTGACATGATTCCAAATCAAGATAAGTCTCTCTTCTCACGCTCGACGCCACAAATCTTGCGTCCAACATGAACAAGATAGAGACCTCTCTTTGGAATCATGCTCGACGCCTTAAAGGCATGCCCAATGTCTTGAAGGCGCGTCCGTCGCGATTTAGTTCCTACACTTATGTAGGAATTGATTTCGATCCTAAACACCTGAAAATCAACAACCCAACAACATGCAATGCAACATACAACAATCATACATCATATACAACTCAGTTTCATCATTGAAAACAACATGCAACAAGTATCGAAACAAGAATCAACTCAATTTATTATATTTTTCTTCAAACCATGAAAACCTTTTTAACTTCATCTTCTAAATCATTTAACTTCTTCAACCAACTCATTCCCATCATCATAACCACATAATATACACCTAAAGAATCAAATTCATAGCTTTCTTTACCTCTCAGAGAATCAATTCACAAGAGGAGAAGAAGAAGAAGATGACTCTATACTTCAACCACTGAAGCTCCAAACTTAGGAACTCAAATCCTCCATTACGACTTATATCTATTGAGAAATGAAGAAAAAGAAAGGTTCCTCAAAAGGAATGAGAAGAAGGAGAGAATTTTAACCCTCTAACTTCTCTCTAGAGTTTAAGAAAATTGAATTATGATCTTACTTTTAAAAAAAATTTCTTTTATATCTTTAATTTCCTAAGTCGACTCTTGGTCTATTCCTCTAAAGATCAACATGTTTTTAATGAGGGTCTTTCAATCCTAAAACTCTTAGCAACAACTGTCAAATCAAACAACATGATTATGAGATAACAATGTTACACTTTACTACCAAATTAATAAGTTTCTTTAAAATCTAAATAAAAGTTATAATATATATATATATATATATATATATATAT